GCTTTGGGAGCCTATTTGCCATGGTATCACACAGTCTGCTACTACCATTGCCTGGACAGAGATGAAAGAAAACTATTGCATCAGAGATATCCTTCATTGGAATAACTTTGATTCAGAAGTATTAGGTCACAGAACACAAAAGAGAAATAATGTGCTGTGACAATGCAAAGCTGAGACCCTGTATTTCCCTGTATACAGGGAAATGTCAAGATCTGTTTTTTCTTGAGGACTGAAAGAGTGGAAAGTGAATGAATTATAATAGTATGAGGCACAAGAACAGGTGCTGAAGGAACAGCAGGGACTGAACATACAGAAGAAAAAGATGAGCTGTATTAGTGAGTTACTGTACCAAGAAGAGTCATTTATACCATGACTGTACACACTATAAATTAGCAAATAAGCAAAAACTTTAATTTTAAAAGAAGTTTGAACTACAGAATTATTATATTGAGAATCACAGAATGGCCTGGGTTGAAAGGGATGACAATGTTCATCTAGTTTCAACCCCCTGGTATGTGCAGAGTTGCCAACCACCAGACCAGGCTGTCCAAAGTGTTGGGTTCGATGAACTTCTGTGAATGTTGAAATCATGTCCCCATGAATTGCTCAGTACCAAGCAGCTTCAAGGCTAAAGGTCTTGGATATGAGAGAACGTGAAGGCTTGCTGGCCACACACACTCACAGTTTCAGGGCTAAGATCCAGAGTTCTAGAAGTCAGGAGTAGAGAAGTTCTGTTAGGCAGGGTCCTATCTGAAACCAAAAATAGTAAGCACCCATGTTTTGCTCATCAAAATATATTCTTTTCAGCATCAGTGTTGACATTCAAAGCCAACTTTTCCAGGTGGTTTCAGGATTCAGGAAAGATTTAAGTTGTATCAGTCTTATTTGGATCAATGGGAACTTTTGGCGGACTGGCAGTGAGGAAAAAGGTACAAATTTAAAAACGTAAGTGAGCAAGCTACTAGAAGAATTACATGATGACTTTTAACTCTTATGTTTATTTTATCCTACCACAAGGTTAATGTCCATGCTGAGGTTCCTCCAGACTCTTTCTCTTTTTAAGTAGAGAGAAATAAACACTTTTGTGGTCTGAATCATGCCAAACTAATGTAGACGCCAAAAAATAAGTTGGCTGAATTGTACCCCAAAAATGTTTACTTCTCTTCTTAAGTTCTAAAGGGAGCCCAAAGGAAGAAGCTCAGAAATGGGTGTCTCCACTGTAGTCTTTTAAAATCAGAAGATATAAATTCCACCTGAGGAGATGGCTGTCCACTGTCCCATGGAACTTGAACTGCTGTATCCAAAGATATGAAGAATAAGTGAAAACAGCATGTAACAATGGGGAAAACAATATCACAGATAGAAAAGAAAATGGCAAGGAAAAAAAGAGTGCAAAACTTAATTATATTACTGGATATTTTTATTTAGTAGAAAGAAGAGTTCCAAAATTACAAATCTATGTGCAGGAATGTTTTACTTTGTACCAGTGCCTATGCATATGAGTAGCATGTCCATCTCTAGAGCCACACACACGAACTCACTCATTGAATTTAATTAACATGCAAGTGCAGCTATGTTCACACGTGGGAAAAATACCATGAGTTTTGATTTGAAAGGGTATCAATCTTACTGTGCTGTGCTAGTTGTTATATATAAAAAAAAGAAAGTAGTAAAGGAAGAGATTAAAGTGGGTTGACAAAACATACTAGAAATATCACTTTCTGCTAATGCATTCTTTGGCAACACACCAAGGTTAATATTAGGTCTTCTTCTGAACCAAAAGGGTCTCAAAATCTTCACTACTATTTGAAATGATATTTGAGTTAATGCATCTAATTCTCATTTCCCACTGATTTTGCACAGTTTTAAGGCCAATGAAATACAAATGGGTTGCTCTATCTCCCTCCCACAGGAGACGTCTTGTCTTTTCCTCCCCTCTGAATTCTATCACACTGGGCTCTTACTCCAGCTATAATGTTGTGGTTAGAGCTATGCCTACACAAAAGCATACCAAAACTCTTGAAAGCATCTAGTGATTTTCAGTGACTGGATACACCCTCAGGATGCTTCACCACTCAGCAGTGACTATTTAGCATACATGAACTTTAGCACTGCAAAAGTTTAGTGCTTTAAAAGCTGCCTCCAATTGGGCGTACTTAAATGAAGACAAAATCAATAGTCACTTTTGAAAATTCAGCACACAGTGTCAAATAGAAAGGCTAATTTATTTCATTCTGACATACAAAGTTTTCTTTCATTTTCTAGTGTGTTGGACTAAGTTACTTCCTCTCTAAAATTAGAAATTATAAAAGCATTAATTTCTGTAAATTCAGCCACTTTTAGAGATCAGAAACTGCTCAGCCTCTCACAAAAAGGCTGGGTGCAGTTATGTAAGAAGACAAGCGTGTTGATTCATACCAATTATACTATGCACTACTTGGAAGAGCCTGCACAAATTCTCCCCCTCCTCCAAAAACAAATCTAGATGTAGGAAAGAAGATTCTGCGTGCCATGAAACAGTCTTTCCATTGTACAGCTGGCAACATTCCCACTGTTTAAGAGTGAATGAGCAAACCCTAAGAACATCAGTCCTAACCATTCTCTATTTCTCTTCTGCTGAGCATAACACTCACCAACCTAAAGGTTAATGGGTCATTTCATTCCACTCCACTCTGTGCCTCATGTATATATATCAGCATGAAAAATAGATTTGCTTTTGACCAAGCTTTCAGGAGAGTGATGTGTAATTAAATCATTTGCAATAATCAGGTTTCTTTGTAAATCACTGAACGGAACAGCATTGGTAAGTCCTGAAAATATGATAAAGCCTTGGTTTGCTCTCTGAATAGAGGATTACTATTTGTACTATAGAAATGGTTAGAGCTGCTTAATTTATTCCTTATAAACCAGTGGCTTATTTGAAAGATCCCTACTCTCACCCCTCCTGAAGAATCACTCTCATTAGCTACTTCAAGGGAGAATCAAGCATTCGCAGTGCTATCACTCCTTTTTCTTTCAGTCATCTAGACCTTTTCTCTGCTGCCCACAGGTTTTCTAATGGTTTCACGTTGTAATATGCAATGTCATAGAGAGACAAGACTAATTCATCATGTCTTTTTCCCCTCACCATTCCATTTTTTCCACACATCCCCACGTCCTGCTAGTACTGGCATGTTTCTAGTCAGCTCAGAAAAGAGCAGCCCCAGGTCCACTCATTGGTACATCTTTCCTTGTCTGAGGGCTCCTGAGCAATGCCTCAGTCCTCCACAACTTCCCCATTCTCTCCACCACTCCACCAAGAGCACTGTTCCCTGCCTCTGCTCACTACTTACAAAATTTTCTGACAACATTTATCAACTTATCTCCTTTCAGCTTTATCCCCAAGACACATCCCTCCCTGATGGCAAAGCTAGAGACTGGCAATTTTAAGGTATTTAACTTTATGAAGACTACACTGAAGGAACTCCCTGCTGTTCTTCAGGATACTTATCAAAGATTAAGAAATCAATGAAACAGGGTCAGTGATATCACATCAAGGATGACACTAAAAGGAAATAAATTAGTATATATTCTAATTAGATAAGAAGATTGTCTTATTTCATCAGCCTTCAGACAACATGGAGCACTTTAATCAGCATCTTGAAGCTTATTCTTCCAAGCATCCAACTCCTCCCTCTGCTGTCATTGAGTGAAGGAAGCAGTCCGGAGGAAATTCCCCTCTTGCTCCCCTTTCGGCCGGGAGTTGATTTATGGGACCGGCTCCACGTCCCATCGCCAGCCTCCTCGAGCGCGGACCGGGGGAAGGGAAGCTCTGGCGGCGCTCCCTTTCCCGGTTCAGCACCGGGCATGGCTGTCCTCACCTCGGTACTGCTCTGCTGCTCTCGATAATGACTCAGTTCTCCAGAACGTGCAGTTTGAGATAAAACGCTGAACACAGTGCATATAGCAGCTCCTTCCCCATTTCTTCCCTTGGGAGAGGTCTCGTTCCTTTGCAATGATGATCTTTAAACATTATTTAATTAAGAATAAGGGTGAATGAGTGCATTGTTCCAGGTAGTAGGAGATGCTGAAACACCGCATGTAGAATTCTGAAGGAACTGTGATCCACCAAAAAAAAAAAAAAAAAAAAAAAAAAGCCGGGAAATTCAAGCACCCAGTTACCCACTTCCTCCTCCCCTTCGTAAGGCAGCTGTTAGGCATGAGGTCGGACAGATGCAAGATGATACAGTTGTGCATCTGGCTTCACAGCTCTCAAAGCAAGGTTTTGCTGCCCAGAACATGGGGCAGACAACACAGAAGGAGATCATTTGGTCATTTTCCTAGGATCTGGTATCAGAATGCCTCAGCGAGCCTACTCAGGGAGCTGTGGGCACCTCGGGGTCACAGCCCTGTGTGTGGATCTGACAGAAAAGGCGTAGGGGAAAAGGGAAACCCGAGGGGTATGATTGGCAGTGCTGTGGTTGGAGGCAGGTGTAACCTGCCCAGCAGAGATGAGAAGCCCCACGAAGCACAAAAAGCCACTTCCCAGCACATAAAGGAAGAAAGAAAACAACTACAGACATGACTCAAAAAGAAGGAAAATACTTTATTTTAGTCGGAGGGCACATGAGCATAGAACAACAACCTCGTGAAGGACCGCGGCGAGCTCCAACGGGCAGTCCGGAGCCGGAGCTCCACTTCCCACACGCCTCACCTCAGTGCTCCGGGCAAGTTCCTTCTTCCCCCCGTACTTCCGAGCACTGTTTAAAACGTGACATCGATCCCCCCAGCAGCAGCAGCTCCACAAGGAGCGAGCAGTACCTCATTAAGAGCCTCGCAATGACACGCACTCGCTAGAGCAGAGCACAGCCCGGAGGGACCCGCAGCGCACTGAGCGCCCGAGGTCCCGCACACATCCCTGTCCGCACAGGGACAGAAGGAGACTTTCTGAGTCCCACAGACGGGCTCTTCCCCTCAGAGCAGGGCGCCCGCTAGGCTCCGGGTTCCCACTTCTACCTTACCTGAGTTCCTGAGCTTGCGGTTCTTGAAGACGGACACGATGACCAGCAGGTTGCCTAAAATATCCACCACGGTGGTGAAGATCAGCACGCTGGAGAGAGCCGTCACCACCCAGGCGGGCCGCGGGGCGCCTCCAGCCGCCGCCTCCCGCTCCGCCGAGCCGAAGTGACCCCGCCCGCCCGGGTCGCAGCAGTTCCTCAGAGATCCATTCTCCAGCATCGCTGACGCCCGCCGACCTCGCGGCGGCCCCGCTGACTGGACGCGCGGGCGGGCGGGAAGGCTTTTAACGGCCCCGCCGTGCGCGCTGCCCCTCCCGCTCCCTGCAGATGTCGCCGGGAAAGGTCCGGGGCGGGGCTAAGCGGAGCCCCGAGGGGGCTGGGCACAGCCCGGGGGCGGGCGCTTCACCTGGCGCACGCCTACGGCGCCCGGCGGCCGCCGAGAGCGCGAGCGGGGGCCGGGGTGAGGTCTGGAGAGAGGAGAGCGGGTACCGCTGCGCACTGGGGGCTGTGAGGCGGCAGCGAGTGCAGGTGGCCGCGCTTATTAACTCCGCTGAAAGGATGAGAGCCCCGCTCGCTTCGCCCAGCTCCGGTTCCCTCAGCCTCCGCTGTGGTGAATCTCCGCTCTCCGCGGCGGGTTTTTACTCCGTGCCGTGTGTCAAGGCTGGGGAGCTCCATTCCCCTCGCCGATCCCGCCGGGCTCAGCGCTCCCAGGCGGGATTTCCCCCGGCGCCTGTGATTTCCATGCTCCATTGCTACGCACAGTAAGCTGTAAGGATACAGAACAGCAGGGGTTGGAAGTGACTTCTGGAGATCATCGAGTCCAACCCCCTGCTTTTGATGGGTATTGAATATCTGCAGAGTAGAAAACTCCACAACCTCTCTGGGCTTCCTGTTCCTGTGCTGTCATGCTCACAGTAAATTCCTCCTTGTTTTTCTATGAAAAACTATGGTGTTCTCTACATTTAATACTAAAATGTCAAATTTGACCTAGACTTTTATATATTCCTGTACTTGCTGATGTGCAGTAGGAACACTGAAACTTATTCAAGCATTAAAGCATGAGAACTGGTGGTGCTGGGCTTGCAAGTCTCTTGATTTATAATCTCTACTCCTCTGTTTGTCAATATGAGGCCATCTTGTCTTGAGGGTGCTGTGTGAGACTTCTGCCCCTCCCACCATGAAAGAAATTGGTGCATATATGATTAATGACATGCACCATGGCCTGGGAAATTCACATCATGAAGATAAAGCAGTCCTGTTTAATTTATAGAACTAGCTTTGCCTGTAATTAATAAAGGTGATGCATCTGGGTTACAGATGTGAAAAAAAAACAACCACAAAAACACTTTGTAGAGGCCTTGTGCTTTGCATTTGAACAAAAGTCTAGCAGATTAAAACTAAGGACAATGCCTACAGGTGGCAATGACTGTAAAAGTTACAGGTGGCGCATGCAATGTGATATCTCCGAACCAACCAAAGCTTTGGAAAACATGCATTTCAGATATGTCTCCTTTCAAGCTCCAGGAGTATTCAGTGGGGCACAGATGGACTTCTATTGGAGATCAAGTTTGAAATGTATAGTTTGATTTGAAGTCCCCCAGTGGCAGATGCCATATGTTCCTTTGCATCAAATAAACAGTAAGAATCAGATGTGTGGTACAAAGGAGCGCGTACCTGCATGCCTTTGTGTCTGGCTTCCAGCATGGCTGGCACAGATACCAGGCGCCACTGACAGTGTTGCTATCATCATGTGCTGACAATTAGGGCTGCTCACAGCAAACATGACTGAGAAGCATCTTGTGTCCTACTTTATATCATTTTCAGGGCAATTGGATCCTTCTGCTTCCAGTTTTGCCCCACTTTTGATAATGATGTTGAAGATCAGCATCTGCAGAAGAAGCTACTGGGTAACTGCATTCTGCCTTTGTGTTCACTCATCACAGAGAGAGGTATGCCCTATCATTTTTCAGGAATTGGATCTTGAGATAGCTAGTGTCTGTTTATTTGCAAAAACCAGGGGGCAAGCTTCTGTTTATTCTAACAGCACATAATGTATTATGGCACATTGCTTCTTTGAGACTTACTTCTGCACAAGTGTGCCCTGCTTTATTTAAAATACTACAAATTATTCTGGAGACTTCTTTTTCCAACTTAAAGTAGTCTTTTGTTGTTTGATTAAATGTATTGCTAAATGTAGTCTTGGTTGGAACCAAGATAAGAGTGCTCATGTAGATTTTTACACCGGTCTTATTTGCAGTGATTTTAAAAAAATATATACCTCAGATATTTTCTACTTAATGTAGGCAGTATGAAGTACATAAAGCATCATGATCCTTTTTAAAATACAGATGGAGTTATCACGGCTTCATGGCTTGAACCAGAGAAGGGCTATCTGCTGAGAAGTATCACTTCTGAATAGTTATTTTGCAGTTCCATCATTGCTAGAGGAAAGTAATTGCACACTTGACAGAACAGACTTTCAAGCAGCAGTTTACTTGATTTTTCTTTTCCTTCCTTCTGAAATGTAAAAAGAAATTTATCCAAGGAAATGCCCATTTTCTGTATTCATCAGTGCAACATTTTTTTTTTCTCCAGTGACTAGTAGTCTTCCTGTAAAAGGAATTGTTGCATTATAGTGTCTCTCTTTATCTACCTCTGTTCTAATTTACTTTTTCAGAAAGTTGTTATTGTCAGTGCCCATTGTCGATGCACCACTCTAGTCTTATTGATGAGGCAGTACAGACACTGTCTTATTTTGGAGAACATACAAATATTATCATTGGTTTACATGCCTCGGGCTCTTTCTGGGCATCTTTCCAGGTTCTATATAAGTGCTTTTAGGAGAAATGTACCATTTTGTTATCTGTGTGTTAGTACTACGGAATTTATCTTTAACTGTTAAATGCTTAAATCGTCCCTGAGCATAAATGTGACTTTTAAAGATGGACTTTACTCCTGGCATTCTCCGGGTATTGAGTTTGTCCACCCAAGAATAGTGCTTTTTATTTTTCCCTGCCACACACAATTGTTATTTATCATTGTTCATTATGTTTTATAGTTCCTTATAGTTTGCCAAGTGATTGAGAGAAAAATTAGAAAGCTATGGTCTGAACTTGGCTTCAAATATGAACCAGTTGCAAAATGTGAGATAAAATAAGTGTTGGTAGTTGTGTAATAACAGTCTGTCCTTTGTGGTTGCCCTGGCATTTGACAGTGCGAAAACAGGTAGGTAGGAATCAAATGCCTCGGCATCTCTGAAAAGCAGGTTCTTCATCTGATCTGAGCTCTCACTCTCTTCATTTTTATCAGCAGCATAAGTTGGAATTCTCATACAGTTTTACCTATATAAAGATAAGTTATAACAAGTCTGATTTGCTTTTTTGAATGGTTGCTTAAACTGCCTTAAATACACAGTGGATATTCCTATTTAGCATTTTAGAAACCTCATTTTAAATAACTAAATTATCTCCTGAAGTGTAATACATCTTTAAACAGATTGATTGTTACAGTTAATAAGGAATGGAAGTAATGGAACGAATGGAAGAAAGCACTCCATGTCAAACTAAGTTTGGGGATTTTCTCTTCTAATTCTTAGTCTAGGAAAAGTAATTATGTTTTGTATTTATTTCTGAAAGCAATCCTAAAAATTTCCTAAATCAAACTGTATTTGAGCCGCAGGCTAAGACCGGGAATTGCCGGTCAAAATATTCCATGAATCATTCTGCAGCCAGAGACTGTGCTCTCTTGTTTGCCTTTTTTTCCCCTTTCTGAAGACAAGTGGCTGCTTCCTAGAGATACCTTTGTGCTCTTTGTTTTCTGTGTTTTCTTGATTTGATGTTTTTGAAGGGACTTATCTCTAATTGGTTGCAGAAATAAAAACTCTTCATGAACAGGAATGAAATTTCAGAAGATAGACGTTCCTGCAGGCAACATCTCTTGAATTTTGAGTAGCAGAAGAAATTGTTCTGCTATGCTTGTTATGTTATCACACGTTTCAACAAGACCGAAGGGCACTTAGAACTAAAATGCCCAGTTCCTACTATTAATTATATCAGCTTGAGTTGACCATTTTCACAGTGTACACCATGGCTGATACCGGAGTTTGGGCTCCTGCATCACTTCCATTACTATCCAATTTTTTTTTTTTTTTTTTAATTTAAATATTTGTCTATACATGTTTGAACTACTTCAAGTCCCAATACCACTGGCTAAATGAATTCCTGTTTTCTTTCACTGCTGATTTACTGTGAGCCGTACAGAAAAGTTTGTATCTCTTTAAGAAAGGAGAGTCTGTCTTTGCAGAAACAGAGATTTACTTGTATTTTCAGTGCAAATTTCATTTTTTCAATGCATAATCTTAATATTTTTAGACACAAATCTAATAGTGGGGAAAGGTTCATTTTGTTGTTCATAATTTTCCAACCCATTTTTTGTACCTGCCAGAAATTGCTCATAAAATGAGATGTCATCTAATTTTCAATAATTTATTGATATTTCTTTCAGATAGATCTTCCATGGCCCATAACAGAATCCTTATGTCATGAGCTGTCAATAGAAAGAGTTTTCTGGTTTCAAAACTTCAATCTAAATAAATTGGGCAAAACAAAGAAGTGAAGACTGAAGGATGCATCTCATTTCTCTTTAGCTACTTAGTAGTAAGGTTGTCATCTGTCTTGTCTCTATGTCAATTGAGAGAGTTGTGGAGAGAGCTGTAGCAGAGTGGAGAGAGAGGAGGGAGAGAGTTGGAGAGAAAGAAATGTGATTCCAAAGGACAGTGCATGTTCTGTCATCACTGAATATCTGGAATGCATTACCTTGTGCCAGTCATTCTGCAGAAACTGTAGGCAAGCTTTTATGACCAGCTCAGATCAGATACTTGACTGCAAGGTGTTTAAAGATTTAAGTCCTTCTTGCTGAAGATCACTCTGAGGAGCTTTAGCTTTAGCAGGGCTGAAACAAAACCTTGTTCTCTTGATTCTGATTCAGTGTCAACATTTCAAAGCCATCTGATCTCTAACCATGCCACCTATTCCACTTTCTGTATTGTTTAGTGTAAGCGTGTATATACTTTTTCTGTATACTTCCATACAAGCAACTGTTACTATTCGGCTTCTGGGAATCTTCTGCCAATTTGTGTGGTGCTTTTCTAACATGAAAGTACTAGGCTGGCATGGAAGAAACTGATTTTCATTCCTGACCCATTCCTATACTTGAACTTAT